TTACGGGTGAAGACGTGCAGATCAACTTGGACGTGTACCGTAATGTGCCATGGAAAATATTCAAGCATAGGTTGGTGCGAGGATTGTCAGGAACGATTGCGGTTCAATATTACACACATTGGGACGAAACCGAACGGTGCACTTGGGAGCACGAGGAGGAATTGAAACAGTACGGTAATTTCGTTATGAGGTATTGGACGGGAAAAATCGAGTTGGTCGGTGGTGAAAACGCGAACTACCGAAGATACCGTGTTCAATGAGCAAAAAGAGCCGAGGCCAGGCTTAATGGTGGAAGACATGTGCCTGAAGGGTTTAAGGTGTGCTGCGATACGCGTGAGCGGCCCACCCTATATGGCACTGATATTATCGGGTCTTATATTTATTTCAAAACCCGCGATTTTGGATGGCAGATCGCGAAGGTGATTGTGGTGGCGGAGGATGGAGAGAGCGTGGAGAACCCACACACAGGGAAGTTCTTGGATCTTGCGCGGCAAGAGAATGTACACCTGAGTTTAGAGACTCTGAAGACATTCGATGAAGAACCGGGGACTTGGTGCTGGCATGTACACACCAGGATAAGGGGGCGAGACAGCGTTAAAGTTTCCGGTACACCCTGGACTGAAGACGGAAGAAGATCGTCGACAAGAAAAGGCACTCAAGACTAAGAAGATCATCGACCAGGACACTCAAGACTGAAGAAGATCATCGACGAGAACTGAAGATGGAGGTTTCGAATAATTGTTAAGGGTTCTGAGATTTATACCCTAACAATTGTTTTATGTACTTGATGTTATGTTGTTATGTGTGTGTGGGTGATGCGCAGGGGTTGTGCTTCTGAAGGTGCATGTTGGTACATATTGGAAGAAGCCTGCCTGTGTGTGTGATGGATGTTGTGATGTGTTTGACGAGTTTTATGTTGAATTCGCTGAGAAATCATGGCGAATGCGTACGTTAATCGATGCGCGAGAGAAATGGAATGAGAGACTTGGCGATATTTTATGTGTTTTGTTTGAAAGAAAAATTTGAATGTTTTAGGATGTGCTTTGTGTGTGAAGTGGTTGGAAGTATCTACCATCTCACTTGACTTTGTGTTGTTCATGAGCGAAATCATCTAAACAACATATTCGCCTGATTGAGAGCGTAGCATCTGATTGAGAGCGAGATTGCGCGATACGCTGTAGCCGGACTACCACTGAGAGGTGGAGCTTGCTGTGTAGCTTGAATTGAAGGGCTAGCCCGTAGCTTCAAGCCGCTACCCTGGTCATCCTGTGGGAGTCTCTCGTTGTGGAGCTACAGCGGGGAGCAGAAGCTACAGCAGAGCCCACCGCCCGACGCGATACCGCCCTGAAACAGTTTGAGCAGAAATAGCCAATCTGGGCAAATCTAGCAACTTGTCTAGCTCCTCGCTGCAGCATCCGATGACGATGACACGCATATGCTCGCGAAGCTGCTGATGAGACCTTCAATTTGCACCGCTTCTTGGAATAGCCCGTCCCCTACTTGCCAAGAAATGGCAAGAGGCGTCTGGACCCGAAATTTCAATTTTTTTGGCTCTCGCTCTCAATCAGATACTTCGCTCTCAATCAGGCGAATATGTTGTTTCTAGTAGATTTACTTATGATCAGGGTGGGCTGATGTGGTGAGAATGGGTTTCAGTCTAGTTCGTGGGGCGTTATTGGTTATTATCTGAAACGGTCGACACAATTCTGAGTGTCTAGACGACTGGACCGACCAACCAAGCAGCGTAGACCTAGGGCTGATGTAGCCAGCTGGATGCATCGGACCTAGGGCCCAGGCAATAACCAGCGTAGACCCAGGATTATGAGAGTTAGCCAGTAACATGTGTTTGTGCATTTCATTGGATTAATGCAACCAATCAGATGGATGTGTGGTAGGAGAATGGCAGGCCACGGACTGACGTGTGACTGTGACGCTTGGTTGCAGTTGGATCCGTCCGGAAGCTTGGCTCCGTTAAGCCTCGCACATGAATCACTCATAAAGCTTTGCCCTCAGTCTCGCCGTACAGAGCTGATTGCAAGATTGCCGAGAGTCAACAATAAGACACCCAAAAACAACCATGCCGAGCACAAGACGCTTGAACACAAGCGCATGCACTTCTGACGAGGCTGAGCCTGTTAGCAAGGAAGAGGCAGAACCAGTACCCCAGAGAACCAGTTATCTCCACAACGTCGTCACCGGTTTTGTAGAGAGACCCGTCAGAGATGGCGTGGCTAACCCGGGTGCACTGGTTTTGTGCCTGATCGTGGAAGACCCCTTCAATGTGGAACGATTCTTAGCTAGTGTCAATATTTTTCACTGCAGTGCCTAACACAGACGATCGGGAGAGATTCGGGTGATTGTCAATTGCTGCTATGATGGCTTTGGTTAGTTGCTCTTTTTCACTGTACGGCCGTAGACACATTCTGACAGCACTTCAGACAGTAGTATGCTGTAGTCGGCAATCTTCCGTTTTGGTATAGAGTGGGACAGGGAGGGGGTGATGCTACGGTAGTCGAGCGGTGGGACGGACGTGCAGTTCAGTTTTTGGGCACGCATACGGTGCTGCAGGGATTTTTAGGTGTACCTCTTCGGGCTGTTGGATACCTTTTTCTCGTTTTATGTGTGCGTGTTCTTTCGATCCTCAGATGGCTCTAGCACTGTCGTGACCACGGACTGAGAGTCTTCGCTAGATTTTGGCATGTAGCAATTGACATACGGTTTAATGTGAAGACAACAACAACATCATCACTCTTCCTCGTCCCGACCCGACCCAACGCGAGAAACAAGTACCGAGCGACACGAAATCCATCCCCCTCGAGGCAGTTACACAGTGCATACAACTGTCTCTGGAAGTGAAAGCACCAGAAAATAGACGAAGGGATACGCAGCTGTCATCCGTACGCCAGAATGTAAGCATAAGATGCCGAACACCCTTAGTAGGATGCAGCGCACCCTTCATGCGACTCGCCGAATATCTCACGGCGCTTCGCGCTTGGTGATGTGAGAGCCTGGTCCGGTGAGAACCCGGCGTGCTCCGTCCCGGCTTTGTAGGGATGCGAGGTCAATGGTCTAACGANCCCCCCGCCTTGGTGTTTACCATCGGGGTTGGGATTTTGTCACAAGGCAACGACGTTGTAAAACAAGAGCCCCCATCGGTGTTTGCCATCAGGATCGGGTTGTCGTGCCTTGGCAACGACGTTGTAAACCAAACCAATTCACTTTGTGAACTCGGCAACCAGGTTACCGTTTTT